CTCACAGCCCCCCTCAGAGCTCCCTCACAGCCCCCCTCAGGAATCCCAAACTGAAGAGAAAACGGGGAGTAATCCCTGAAGTGCCTTTGCTCCCTTGGGGGATGTGCGAGCCTGAAGCTGCCCTTGGGCCCCCTGAGCACCCCCTTTACCTCCCGCGCACCCCAGGGAGGTGGGTGGCACCCACTTCCCTTCAAGCTCTGCCAGTGAACGGAAACCAGGCCTCCAGCACTCACGCCACTAGGGGTTCCGGGGCCCCCTCGGCTGCCCTGACCCCAGCTGAGGGGGCAGAGGGCTCCCGGCACTCCACCCCCCAGACACTAGCAGTGGTCACTGCCCCTCAGCCCCAGGTGTGGGGCAGCCACAGCCGAGACTGTGCCCTGGTGCCCCCTCTCTGCCTCTGGCCAGGCTCCTGGGGCTCTCCGACACCCCAAGACCGCTGCCGCTTGGCCCTGCCGTCCCTGGCCACGCCCCACTGTCCAGGCCAGCCTACCTTGAGTGGCCCGGCGGGTGGGCGCTGCGCTGGCCGCGCGCTCTCCTTGGACCCCGGTCACCGTGGCCCGCGGGGCTCCACCCTGGCCACCTCCTCTCAACCCAGGGCAGGCCAGGGCAGCCGCCCGGCCCACGGACACCGCCCCCCAGCTTGCTCCTCCGGGGGCGTCTGGCACTGGAGGGGCCTGTCGTGACCTCTGCCCGGCACTAGGGGCGCGCCGCCGCGGGCCTTCGCGATGGCCACATCGAGGTGCCCACCCTCGGCCCTCGGACACGGCTGGCGCCGGGTGGTGCCCGGTGCCTGTTGACTGAGTGCACGAGGGTGAGGGCTGGTGGGCAGCTCTCGGGGCCCCGCAGGCGGCTGCCCGCGCAGCAGTGGGCGGGGCGCCAGGCTCTGGCCTGTCCAGCGGACAGGCCCCAGGTGCTTGTTTTTAAAGCCGAGGGGGGTGCGTCCAGCCCGTGCGCTTTCGGGGGGACCCGCCCTTCGGCCGGACCTGCCTCCGGGAGCCGGCGGGTGAGGACCCCATGGTGGGGCGCAGCCCTCCGGGGAGCCGGGGCCGTGGGCACCTCCACCCTAGGCCGGGGGTGGGCTGGCGGGGAGGGCGGGCTGGGGGAGCGGCATGGCGGAGCGGAGGGGCAATGTGGAGGGGTGCCAAGAGCTCCCCGCCCCCCGCTGCCTCCCCGTCCCCACCGGGCAGCGGGGCTCAGAGGCCTTGACACCCCCACCTCCACTCGCCAGGCCTCGGGGAAACCGCGACTTCCCCATTTTCTCTCCACCCCCGAGTGTCTCCAGCCCTCCCGGGGGCGACACCCACCCAGGGGAGCTACGGGGTGGCCGCGGCAGATGAGGGGCCTGGGGTAGGGCCACTGACCGCTAGACCCTCCAGGACACCTGTTCCTGTCCCCCAGCCCAAGGGGAAGCCGAGTGTGGAGCCCCCCCACTCCTCTCACACCCCAGGGCCCTGTAGGGGTGGAGGCCAGTTCCAGGGCTGTCCAATTCCCCCAGCAGGCCCCCTGACCACCAGCCCCCTGCACCCACCTTCTCTGGCCCAGGGCCTCCCTCCAGCTTGCGGCCACTGGCCCGCCGCTGGCTCCACGGAGCAGCTGCTGGGGGCTGTAAGAAAGGAGGCGGGAAGGGAGGAGGGGAGGCCGCCTGTGTCAGCCCCAGCCCCGCGGTCACCCACGCGGGCGCTGCGGGGCTGCTAAGGTCCCCCCCTCCCCTGCGCGGAGGAGTAGAGTGGCGCCGAGGGCGCTGGGCCGGCTCGTGGTGCGGGCCGCTGGGACTCTGGGACTCGGCCTGCTCCCTCCCGCGCTGCCCTGGGCCTCGGAGGGGTCCAGGCCTGCGCGCCCCCCCAGCCCCGGGCGCCCCCAGGCAGGGCCCCCTCCGCGACGCCCGTGGGCTCACCCAGCAGGGCCGAGAGGAGCAGCAGCAGCCGGCTCATGTCTGAGCGGTCCCGCGGGCTGGGGAGCGCGTCTCCCGCCACCTCCACTGGGGGCCCCTGGGGTGCTGCTGGGTGGGTGCCTGCAGCCAGCAGATAACCTGGAGGCCACGCTGGGGGCCCAGCGGGCCCAGAGCGCACGCTCCCCCCACGCCGCCCAGGGTGCTAGGAGGCGCTGGGCCCTGGGGGGGAGCTGCCTGGGGAGGGGTCCTGCTGCCCTGAGCCCGGACATTACGCCGTTACCCGGGGCCTCAGGGAGGCTCCAGGGCCCTTCCACAGCCCTTGGGGAGTGTGACCCCCAGACAGCCGCCTCTGCACCCCTGGTAAAGAAGAGGAAGGAGAGGCCCTCCCTGGGGGCGCGGCGGGTTACAACGCAGCACGGCGGAGCTGCCCACGGCCCCCACAGCGCGAGTGGGGTCCCCGCCAGGGAGGGACCCCAGGGCGGCAGGCCCCTGGCCCGCCGCTGCCCCCTCGGCACTGTGTTTCAGTCCCTCTGCCTGTTCTGCTGCCCGCTCTGTCTCTGGGGAGTCCTCTCTCCCCTGCCCCTCTGGCCTGCACCCCAGTTCTTGTGTGCATACATAAATAAATCTTTTTTTAAAAAAAAGGAGAGGGAGGAGACACCCCCATCTCACTTGGGGCACTGGCGCCACCTGGTGGCCCGCTGGGGCTGGGCTGGGCCTGGGCTCCATCTGCCCAGCGGGGGCAGCAGGAGGGGCTCCCCTGTGCTGGTGGTGGGGCACTGACCCCCAGGGACCCAGACCCCATGCCAGTCGGCCCAAAAGGAGGTGCAGCCACGACACAGCGCAGGTGGTGGCGGTCTGGCACCGGAACGCCCCGGATCTGGAGAGAAGAGGGGGACGAGCTGGGCCTTCTGGGTCTGAGACCGAGCGCTCGGCCAGGCCGGAGGCGAGTGGGCGAGGCGGGCCAGAGCCAGCCACCCCGTAGCAGGCCGCTGGCACCTTCCTGCCCTCCGGTCGGGCTCCTCGCAAGCCCAGGCCCGGGCCTCTCAGGCCGGGCCTCCCTGAGGCCCCGGATAACGGGCGTAATGTCCGGGCTCAGGGCAGCAGGACCCCTCCCCAGGCAGCTCCCCCACAGGGCCCCCAGGCTTCCTTCCTTGGGGGCTGTCTACCGGCTAGCCCCGTGGCGCGCGCTGGCCACACATTCCTGCCCTGGCCGCTGTCTGGGACAGCACAGAGGCCAGCCCCCACCAGCCCTTCTGCCCCTCCCGGCCTGGAGTCCCCGACCCGACGCCCTGACTCACCTGCGGCCCCGCCCACCTGGAGCAGCCCTCAAGCCTTTGGTGACTCCATGGAGCCTCCAGCCCAGTCTCCAGCGTGGCTGCCCCGCCCCTCCACGCCCCGCGCAGGAGGGGTCTTAGAACGCATGCCCAGCCTCTGACCGCCCCACAGCCCCTCGACGCTGCCGCCAGGAAGCTGCAGAGGGCCCAGCTGGGTGCTGGCGGAACCAGGTCAACTGCCTCGAAATCTCGGCACACGGCCAGCTTCTGGCGGCTTCCCGGGTGTCCCCGAAGTCGAGAACCAGGGAGCCAGCAGGTGGGAGGCTGGAGACGGGATCTTCAACAGGGACCCTCAGCCCCAGGGCACCCCAGCCCTCTGTGCCCTGGGGGGCACCTTCACCCCAGGGCTCCTCCGTTTCCTCAGGTCAGCTCCCGGAAGCGGGGAAAGGGGAGAACAGTCTCCGTGAAAGGTGTGGCCGGGGCCTCCGAGCTGGCTTCTGTTCCCTCTGGCCGGCAGGGGGCTGCTGACCGGGGCGAATCTGGCTGGGAGAAGCTAATTCAGCTCAGGGGAGCCAGCGGGAGGTCCCAGAGCCCCACCCCGGCAGCGGGCTCTGGAGCAGGGTGCCAGGCTCAGGTCCGGCTCTGCCCCCTGCTCACAGCCCCGAGGGTCTCCGCTGTCCGCTAACAGGGAATGCCAGGGCGTGGCATGAAGGCCGCCGCGTGCCCTGGGCGCAGAAGCCAGTGCCAGCCGCCGCCGAGGGCGACCCTGGGGACAGCGAGGCCGCCCCTTCTGGGGGTGGAGGGCCCTGGGCTTCGTGGTGCCCAGCCTCAGAGCTATAGATTGTGAACTGCAGTCAGGGTTATGCTATCACTCTTTTATGTATTTACAAAACATTCAACAAAAATAGAAAATTTAAAGGAACACCATGAAAAAATAAAGACAAGTTCACGTAGTTCTTTCCTGCTGCCCTTGGCTGTGTGCCCCGCCTTTGGCGAACTGGGGGCACACATGAGGGGTGCCTGCCGCCGGAGGGCAGGACGCGAGGCAGCGGCACCCTGCAGCGCTGCTGTGGGCGAGGCCCAGGGGGGCTACTCGGGGCAGCCAGGGAAGCGGAATCTGCAGGCGGCCTCCTGTGGCCCGGGGCCCGGGGAGCGCAGGGAAGGTCCGGGCCTGGGGGACCCAGGATCCGGGGAGCTGGGGCACGGGAATCCGGGGCAGAAGGACAGTGGGCGCGAGGCTCGGGCGCGCGGGGACTCGGGCCCCAGAGAGTCGCTGGGACGCTGTCCCAGCAGCCGCGACAGGTCCCCCACCAGGTGCCACTTCTCTTGGACCTGCTGCGAGGGAGCGCGAGGCGGGTTACAGGGTGCCCCCTTCCCAGCCCAGACCGCAGCGCCCAGCAGGTGCAGCGGGGCTGTCAGCTGCCCAGCAGCCGCCTGGAGTCCACTGCCCGCCCCCTGCCCGAGGCCCCGCCCCACCCGGGCCACGCCCCCTCAGCGCATCCTCTGTGGGCCTGCCCGGACCTAGCTGTGGCTCCCGCCTCCCTCATCCACCTTCGCAGTCTGCAACCCCCAACGGGGCCGCGCTCCCCGACAGGGCCTCCCCATGCCGCCGCTCACCCACAGCAGCTGCTTCCGGAGCAGCTGGATGGCCCTGGCGTTGGCGTGGGACTGGGAGACCCACACGGTCAGCACGAGGCTGCGGACACAGCGGGACCCATCGTGGGTGCCATGGCTTCCTCCCTCCGCCCCCAGTCTCTTAGCACTTCACCTTCTGGGGTCCCCCCTCTCTCAGCCTCCCGCCCTGTGGCCCCAGCTGCCGCCTGTTACCCGGAGGGCCCCTCCCCGCTGTCCCGCCCCGCCTCCCCGGGCTCCCCGCCTGGCTCCGACCCCACGGGACTGGCCGGGGTGCCCACGGGAGGACGGACCCCACCAGGGCTCCCTGCCTGAGGCACCTGAGCAGGATGAGGAGGGGGAAGGTGAAGGCTTGGGAGCCCAGGTAGTGCAGGACGAGCTGGCCCTCAGGTGGGAGCCGGAGGGCCACGGCTTCTGGGACCACCTGCCAGGGGGCCGAGTAGTTGGCGAAGAGGCCGCAGTCCCGGGAGGAGTGGGCGCTGGGGAGAGACGGTCAGGGGGCTGGCGGGGGCCGGGGGCCCGGGCGAGGCGCCGCCCCGGGCCGCCCGCCCCTCACCTGCTGACCACGTAGCCCAGGGGCCCGGCGGCCAGGAGCAGGCCGAGGAGGAGCACCAGCTGGAAGAAGAAGGTGGAGCTGGAGGCCCGGAAGCGCCGCGAGGCCGCCCTGGAGTTCCTCAGCAGGGTGTACTGGGGACAGACAAGGCGGGACTCAGCCCGTGAGGGCGCGGAGGCGCGGCCGGCGGCGGGGTGGGGCAGAGGTCAGCTCCGCGGCCGGCCCAGGCGCAGCCCGGCTCCTCCACTGCCGCCCTCACCTTCTTGATGTAGAAGGTGAGGAAGATGAAGACGCTGTTGAGCAGTGGCAGCAGGGGGCAGTAGAAGAGGCCCATCCAGGTGACCGTCTGTCCCGCCACGATGTCCAGCACATTCTTGGGCACCATGAACTCCTCCCGGTCCAGCCAGGCCCAGAACCGGCCCGAGAACCGCTCCACCAGCAGCCTGGAAGCAGGGTGTCCAGCAGCCACCCCAGGGAGGAGCCACGCCTCGGACCCCCACCGCGCCCGGCTGTGGCCACCGGCCTCCCGGAACAAGCCCCCGGCCCCGCGCGGCTCACCTCCTGGGCAGGCTGACCAGGAAGGCGGAGGCCACAGTGAGCAGGAAGTTGAAGGTGCTCAGCTTGTACAGCTCCTCTCCCACCGAGTTCTCCCAGCACTGGGGAGAGTGGAGGGCCGTCAGCACCCCGCCAGCCGCACGCGGAGAGATGGCCTGAGACTGGGGGACAGCGCAGACGGAGCGGACCCCATGGCCGGGGAGGGAGCGGCCGCTGAGCCGCAGCTGACACAGGAGAGCCAGCGGAGGGGGCCGGCGAGAGGTGATGGGCGCCGTGGCCCACAGCGGCCGGCTCACCCGGTACTCGCAGACGTCATAGCCGTAGGGCTCGCAGCTGGTGCTGTTCCTGCCCACGCACAGCACGGTCTGGCCCAGCGAGAAGGAGAACATGCCCAGGCTGGCCAGCTTCAGCACCACGCACCTGCGGGCGGACGGTGTCGGCGGGCCCGGGGAGGCAGGTGTGGGGGCGGCCGCTCCTGGACCCGGTCCTCCACGTCGGGCCGGCGTCCTCCCAGCCGGCGCCGCCTCTGGGCTGGCCTCCCCCAGCGCGCCCAGGCCCCGGGGGCTGACCCAGGGGACGGGCACCAGGCCCTGGAGGTCTGACCCGCCCTCCCCCAGGCTCCGGGCAGGCCTGGGAAGCCCCGGTGGGGAGGCCCCAGGCCCCTGCCTCCCGGCAGGCAGTGACACCCGTCTCCTCACCACGTCCCTCACAAACAGCGGCAGCGCCCTCGCTGAGCCGCACACCTGGGTGGCAGGTACGAGGCCTGACAGCACCTGCACACCGTGGCGCCACATGGGGCCTTGGCCGGTGAGGCAGGGGTGTGGCTCGAGCAGGGCGGAGCCCTGACTCTGGGGTGCGCGTCACTGCCCGCGGCCTTGGGGCTGGGACCGTGTGGCCTGCCCTGTGGGGGCCGGTGGCAGGCGCAGAGGAAGCTGGGCCGGCTCGGGGCAGGGTGAAGGGTCCGGCGTCCCCGGGGTGAGGCCGGCACCCCGCACCCCGCAGAGCGCTCCTGTTCCCTGGACGCTCACCAGAGCAGGGCCAGGTTGACCTCGGTGTTGGGGGAGTATTTCTCCAGCTTGACCAGGAACACAAACAGCAGGGGGCCCAGGAAGTTGACCAGGGCGATGACCCCCGGGGGCAGGTACTGCAGCAGCACAAACAGCGGCGCCTGCGGGGCGCCGGGGTGGGGGAGGGCAGCCGGCTGCCCCTCCCCCCGCCCCCCCCCCCCATTGAGCTGCCCCCGGTCACCCTCAGGGGACCGGAGGGCTCAGCCCGAAGGCGGCCTCCCCACTGGCAGCGGACGAAGGGGGGGGCGGGCTGGCAGGGGCCCGGCAGCCGGCTCCTCCCCCACCAGGCTCTGTCCAGATAAGGACATAAGGACGGCGCAGGTGGTCACCTCCTTATTGTCCTGCGAGTACTTGGTGGCCCAGAAGATGGCGCTGATGGCCCCGGCCACCAGGAGGGCGATGAGGACGTTGACCCGCAGGTAGCTGAGCAGGCAGCAGGCCCGCTGGGCCGGGGTGCGCTCGCGCGTCTGCAGGGAGAGGCGCCCCTCCTCCAGGGCCACCTGCGGGGGCACAGGCAGGCCGGGGTGCGGGCTGGGGGTGGAGGCGGGTGACGGGGCCCCGCCCGGCCGCAGGCGCCAGCCCGCACGCGCACCCACCCTGAGCTCCTTGCTGATCTCATGCTTCTTGATGGCGGCCGCTTCCGGGCCGCGGATGCAGAAGTCCCAGGAGGAGAAGACCTTGGCGCCGAGGGCCGAGCTGTAGCCCTGGCCCAGGAGCAGCTTCTGCGGGAGCCCCTTCACCATCCTGCAGGGGCACGGGGGGGGCGCCTCAGCCTCCCCTGGGGCGGGGAGCCCTGACCCTGGAGGCCCGCAGCGGGGAGCGGGGTCAGGGCCTCCCTGCCACTTAGGCACAGCACCCCGAGGGCGGGGTGCGGCGGGGCCCCCTCACCGCTGGAGGGTGCCGCAGAAGCAGAGCAGCAGGCCCGCCAGCGGGCTCAGCAGGTAGGCCAGGCGGGTGCTGTAGGTGGAGCGGCTCTCGGGCCCCGCCCGGTAGGCGCCGTAGAAGAGGTAGGTGTCGGTGAAGGCCTGGGGACGGTGGCCACGCGTCCACGCCAGGCCGAGTCGCAGCCCGACCGCCCGGCGCTCCTCAGGCGGGCAGTAAGAGCGCCTGGCTGCACAGACACTCAGGGGCCAGCATCGCCCGGCGCGCCGGCTGGAGGACGAGGCGGGCGGTCCTCGCAGAGGCCAGCACCCGTGTGCCCTGGGCGCTTGTCCAGGGCCCCAGGCTGTGCGTGGCGGCCTTAGTCTCTGACCCCATCACTGGCCCGGCGGGCCGATCTCTGTGACTGTCCCCTATATCCTCGGAGACTGGCGTCCCCCAGGGTCCCTGGCCCGTGCAGGACAGAGCCACTCACCCTGCCGGTTAAGACATTCCAGAGCTGGTTGTGGAACTCCCGAGATCCACTCTGGGGCTGCTGACCGCCGGGGCACTGGACGGCTGCCAGGGAAGACGGTCCAGTGGGGAGGGGTCCCGAGGCACAGTGGGGGTCTGCCGGCAGCTGTGCCACGCAAAACAGGGGCTGGGGGCGTCCAGGGCCGGACGGAGCCGAGGAGACCCAGGTGCCCCCAGGACCAGCCCCCCGGGGTGCAGATGGGCCCTGCGGGCACTCACTCAGGTTGAGGGCAGGGTGCGGGCCAGGCGGGCAGAGCCAGACCAGGGGCAGCAGGACGAAGCTGGTGGTCAGAAGCAGGGTCAGCAGGTTGAGCAGCAGCAGGAAGCGCAGGAAGGTGAAGTAGGACTGGATTCCGGTGCCAAAGAGGCCTGAGGGGACAGCAGGGGGTCTGGGGACAGCAGGGGCCTGGGGACAGCAGGGGCCTGG